TTTGTGCAATGTATGTAAAAATGAAAATTTAGGTGTGAGATATATAAATATATAAGAAATTTAAAGATTGCATATTATGGCGTTACTCATAATTGGATGAGGCTGAGTATTTTTTGAGATCTTCCATACTAGAAAACTAAACTGATTATGCATGATCTGGATGTTAAGAGTATTGCAAAAGAAGGGGGATAAAACTTCAAGAGACAAATGCAAGTAAAATAATAAAGTTCAAAACTACATATTGTCTCACATGAGATTAACAAAAAACAATCTTTGAGTGGTTGCATTCTTTGAATTTTCCAAGTGGTTGTGGCTCTAACATAGGCCGATGTGTTGATTTTGGGATGACAAAAATATTTGAGATAAAGAGTCATGATTGACATATTTTCATGCAGTGTTTATTACCTATCGTATTCAATGTCATGCCAAAACCGATACTTGATCCATTGATCAAGATCAGTTCATTCTTCAGGGAGTTATGTATAGACACTTTGAATGTTGATTCTCTTAGAAGTCTTGACGTGAGTATTTTGTTATTGTTATGCAAGCTTAAACGGATATTTCTTCCCAGTTTTTTGATTCAATGGAACATCTTTCCATACGTCTGTGTTATGAGGTTAAATTGGAGGGTCGAATGCAATACAAGTGGATGTATCCCTTTGAGATGCATGTATTTAATATTAGAATGATTCTATTATCTTATTTTTTTATAAATTAACTCAACCGTGCAAATTTCATAATAAAATAAAATAAAAATTGTTAAGAATAAAGATCGTCTGGAGGGATCAATATCCAAAGCTTTGTGTTACATAAGACAATTAATTTTTGTTCTTATTACTTTGATCAACATAAACATACGTGTGAAATTGTTAATGAGATGCTTTCGCAAGCTGAATTATCCATATACTAGTTATCAGGTGAACCATTGGGTAGGCATGGTATGTGCCACCTCAACGATAAAGAGCGTCAAGTAGCTACATTGTACATTTTATTGAACTATGATGAAGTGTAACCATTCCTATAGTAAGATTAAATTTAATTTAAAATTCGTAAGTTATTATCCAGAATGCTATGCCAATTAACTCAAACATACAAATCACATTGATGTCTTCATGTTATTTACTGAGAGCTTGAACATAGAAAATGACTCTCTTGTTAGCAAGAACAAAAAATAATTTTCAAAATGGTTCAAATTACACATATGTTGAAGTAAAATTTTAATTCATCGGTATGTCTTGTAGTTGCACTCTACAAAGTAAAAATAATTATGCTTAGAAAATTGTACTAGGTTCATGATTGAAGCAACAGAATCACAAAACGGGGCTTATTGGATCTTGCTTGAGGGTCTGATTGTATTGTCAAGACATGACACACATTTGAAGTGAATGGTTACAAATTTCACACAAGCACCTGGTGTGAAGGAAAGCATATTTATAATTGTGGTACGTGTGTTAGAGGAAACACACACACAGATAATGAGATCTGCTATTATGGCATACAAAATGAAATAGTCCATTTACAATATCCGGGCTATGTTGAATGCAATGTCTACATGTTCAACTGTGGGTGGTCAAATCATGCTCCTAACCCAAGAACACGGACAATAGACTCGTTATATATTACTAAAGTTAAAAGAACATAAGATATGCAAAGTATGACACATTTATTCTGGCACGCCAGGCTATTCCGAGTTATTATCTTCAATATCCTAATTGTACAAGTGATAAACTTGATTGGGCTATTATATTGAATAATATACCACGAAAAGTTGTTGGGATGCAAAATGATGTCAAACTTATTCACCAAGAGTTATGCTATATTTTCATATTTAACTTAACTCAATTGATGAGGAGTTATCCCTAGACAATACTACAGAACTACATAAATAAGTCCCTCTAGATATGGATGAAAATGATGGCGAGGTTGATGAAAAAAATTGAAGTTATTCAACATCTCGATAATTGATTGAAATAGAATTAAAAATGGTATGTGTACTTAGATTTTTAGTTTTAACAGCTTCTTGCGTAGTTACTACATATTTCGTGTTGGCATTCTGTGTAATTCTTGTTTTACTTTTTTGTCTTATATTACATACTAATCTTGCTTACTAATTCTTTTTTTTTTTCCTTTTACAGATTCAGAGAGACCTCACATTCAGGTGATTTTGGGAAACACACATTGGACACTTATGCAACCACTCTGGTGACCTCTTAAGTTGCCTCTCCTCCTGCACCAGGTCCCTCACAGGCACCACCTCCCACTCCTGCAACATATTTCCACCTAAGTTCTTCATATGATGTGCCATGTCGCTCTACTCCAACACCTGAGATGGCTAACTCCGCTGGCAGAGTTTATATCGTGATGGAGGGTGACTCGTAAGTCAACCATATTTTGTATATTAATAAAATTTCCATTTTCATATCATTTTATAATATAACTAATGTTTCATTTGCAGTTTCTAACCTTCCAGGCCGTCTGTGATGCGGAACACGGAGATAATCTGGAGTAGGCATGATCAGTCATTTCTTATTTGAAAGTAGATCTCAATTGTAACTCGAGATATTTACTTTAGGGAGTTTGAGGCATGCTATTATAATTTGAGATAGAATTATAATTTTTATCTTTTTGCACTAATCAAACTTACGTAATTTCTAATTTATAGAGGTCTTTGTACTGGTTGCCAGAACATTGCTAACAAATCCGATAGATTTTTCAGGTTCATGCTAGGCATAGGCTCGAAGACATGTTTACTACAACACAGAAGAGCAGGCAGAGGCCCTCGTGGGTTGGTGAGGAAGTTTGGATTGAGTTAAACCAAGCATGAGCTTCTTCAGAATACCAAAGGAAGGGACAGTCAAACCAGCAGCGCCGTAACCCACATTGGTGGTTCGATCCCCTACACAGAGCACTACTGGAGACCGGTAAGATTCTCTCAAAATTCAAAAGCTTACAGATTATCTAATTTATGCCACCTAGCAGTGGGTATCTGAGCCCTCTCGATGCTGCAATGTAAGTTAACAAAAATAAAAGTTTCTATTTTTGTGGGGCTATTAATAAGCCAATTAGTATTTAAAATACAAATTAATATTTGAATTTTGTTATGCAGGAGGAGTACAAGTAGCTACAAGAGAGACAGAGGAAGATGTCTAGCTCGACAACGTTATCTGTCAATAGCAGTGGTAGTCAGTCTACCACTGCTTAGCCCAATTTTGAGTTGTGGACGCAGACGACAGAGAAGAAGAAGGGAAGAGTGTATGATTTAGGATCAAAGGGGACAACATTTGAGGCCAAGAGCTCTTGTGCATTTATGGGTGGCCCTAGTAGCTCGTTATAGGCTCAACATGAGGAGCTTGTCAGACATGTCATGATAATGAATGAAGAGCTTTGATAGGTGTGTGAAGGTTAGCAGATTGTTGAAGATACTTTGACACACTTGACAGAGAGTCTTGATTGCAGGGGAAAGCAACATATGAGTGCTAGCTGTCGAGGAGGCTGAGGCGGAGGAGTAGCAGGATGATGATTGCGAGGAAGACTAAGAGTATTGTTTTGTGCGTGATGTTGTTCCCTCGATGTAAGGGTTGTCTTTTTTTTTTTCATTTATGTTTAATCAAAATTTGAGTTTATGTAGCTGCAAATTTTAAACACGTTGATTTGTGTTTGTTATTTTAGTTTGACTTTATTTTTGTAATATGTTGGAGTTTCTTTTTTTAATACATCAGTTCTGATGATAGATAAATGTTCTATTATGTTGCTTGTATTTGGTTTGTGCAGGTATGTGAAAATCTAATTATTTTGTTGTATTTTTTTTTATTATGTACAGTTTTGAGTCTGCAATTTTCGATGATAATTGTTCAATCAGCCTTTCAATTCCAGACGTCGCTAAATTCGAACGCAGATTTGCGCCGGACTAGACCGACACTAATTAGAGTTGACATGTGTCGAAGCTAATTAGCGTCAAATTCAATCAACTCAAATCAATCGTTTAGATAGTGTAAGTCATAATTTTGATGGAAATATTTAGTGACCGAATTTATTCGACGCGAATTTTGATGAAAATAAAAATCCGATGCAAATGTTGGCGGAGATTCAATTAGTGATACCCATTTTAGCGTCAGGATATTTTCGACAGTTATCTGACACTAATTATGATTTGCTATGGAAAGTAACGATATTAGGATCGGAAATGTCCGACACTAGTTGAGCATTTTGTTGTCGTGAATATCAATATACTCACATTTTATTATTGCGTTTGAGATTATAAATTGAAAGTGTTTCAATGTGCAATTACATTCTTCAACCTTATTAGATGTATTAGTCTCTTCATTAGCAGAAAATATGAGTTCAAAAACGTCTAATGACTCTAGAATTGTGTATTTGGACTGTGATATGCAATGTTGTGACATTTACATTATGAGAAGATAGGTATGGAAGAAGATTTTATATGTGTCTAGAAACAGTTCACTTATGATTGCGTTCTTTATATGGAGTTCACTTTAGATAATGATCATGTGTGGAGGGTAGCTTTGAAAAGAAAAGGCTACATAAGGCTTCTATCATCTGGACTCGATGACTACAATTATCATAATATTACTTGTTACTTTAATTTTAAATTTCATATTATTCAGTATTAAGTGATGTATAACTTTAAATGTAATATACTAGACATCTGACCTTTTATAATATTTTAAAATTTATTTATAATGTTCTATTCTGGATTATTTCTCAAACGGGTCACTTTTTCTTATTTTTTATGTAATTATCCAGCCAAATATATTATTTTTTATGTAATAGCTTCACATCTGCTTCTACAAAATGTTGTAACTGTCCCAAACAATCAACATTCTAGCTATTACTATCATATCAAAATTTAGCAATTATTGTTTTCACACATCTTACACATTATCATTAATCCAAATATTAAATGATTGAAATTGAAAGGAACTATATATATGTTTAACCAAAAAAAGAAAGAGCTGAAAATATTGAAATTCACGTGAAATTAAAGTCAATACATCCACAGGGTTGACTCCAGATTCCATTAATTATTTATATTGCGTACGCATTATTACAAAAAAACCAGAAACATTTCACCACCTTGACAATACATACATACATATATATATATACATCCATATATATATATATTGTAATTACAACTGCTTTTATCCCCATTGAAAGAATATGGGAAATATTTTAGTCCTTAAATAATATGGAAAATAAATAGACCATATAAGAATCGTTTTAGGCCCCCATTATAAATAATGGAGCCCCACTTCGATTCTTTTTCTATTATATTATGTGCAGCAAAGATCTCATATTCCAGCAGCGCATTCCGTTGGAGTAATCGCGAATCGTGACTTGTCGGTGCAGTAATCATAGATAAGATGGTGGAGTCGGACCCACCGGTACAGCCTGGCCTGCCCGGCGCTGAGCTGGCAGTATGCTGGCTCCTCCCACCAGTTTCCGGCCTTTGAGGCACAGGCGGCGACGTCGCCAGCAATTGCCGGCGATGCGACGCAGCCTTCGATATCGAATTCCTTGTAATAAGCGTAGAAGGGAGCCTTGGTCCAGTCAATTTTCTCCAAGCCGCCTCTTGTGGCCCAGTCGTCGGCTTCCCACAGAGTCGAGTGAACCGCCATTGGCTGAAGCTTCGGGAAGGAGACCCCTCGCCTCTCGTTGTTCTTGAAAACTCTGATCGGCACCTCATCCACAAAAAATCTGCATCCATCCGTTTTTTTTCAGTTTTTTTTATATACATGCAAGGGAGAAACAGAGCTTGCGTTGACCACAATGTTAAAGTCTTGATGTAGAACGCACGGTGAAAAGAAATTTTATGTTCCTGACTTTGGTTTTTCTAAATCAATTATAGGAATTGGTCAATGAAGTTTTGATGAAGTGTTGAAAGCATAATTAGTTTTGCTTGGACTGTTGATTGATCGAGGAGTCAATGAGATTTGACTTTTAGTGAGTAAAGTCCCAGCATTTATAAAAGCCAACAATTCAATTATTTAGTCCAGTCTTATCAGCCCTCGTGATTTTGATTAGCCAGAAGTACTGTACCGTGTCTAAACATAAATAATGACATGATGTATATTGATTAGCTTATAATAAATGTTGACTTCAATGGAATTGTTGGAGGTGCCCCAGCCCACTCATCCATATTTTGTTAAATATTACCTATATATATATATATACAGCATATATATAATTAATAAGCTTGATGAGTGAATAATTAATGAAATAAATTAGTGGGCGCAGATGAATTCGGCGAACGTGTACGATAAAGTGAGGGACGATAATTAAATACATAGGAATTAAAAGATGCGTTTATAAATCTTCCTTTTTTCATTAATTTAAATAACATAATATAAAACAGTATAAATACTTAACTTCTTATGTGTTTAACCTTTATTCTCTTCGCCACACACAAAATCATGAATCCACCACTTCCGGAAAGTACTCAATTGCTAACCTAATCCGGCAAGGGTGGACCACACATCATCCTAATTGGCCTTTTCTAAGAATTCCTAATATACTTATGGATGCCTCCCGTGACATGAGACTAACCAGATTTATTAAAATTAATAATTAAAAAAAATCTACTTATATGTATAAAAATCTCCTATATAATAATAAATATATGGAAATAAAGGAAAAAACTAGGTATATGTATATAGGAGAGAAGCGTTGAAATAAGGTAGCTTACATGACATGGCAGTGATTCCAGAGAATAGAATAGGTATGATAGTCCGCGGCTGGATCAAACCAGAGATTGACCCTCTGCTCTCTGTCTCCTTTCCCGTTGGCGTACACATTCGTCTGAACTGTGTATGGCTGACCACTTCTGTTCCCTAAGAATTCAAAGTCCAGCTCGTCCCTCACACTATCGTTGTCCGAGTTCATCTGCACCCGCACAATTTATTTCCTTAACCAATTACTCATAAAGTTTATTAATTATGTAAATATAGAATATTTTTATTGGATCGTACATAGAAGGCGGTGACCGTGCCGGCGGAGTCGCCGGAGATGAGCTTTATCTTCATGCTCACGCGCCCGAACAAATACTTGTTCTTTGATACAAAGCCGGACCCTGCATTAAAACAATCAATTGATTAATTACTGCCATTGATTAATTGCATGTGAGGATTTTATTTCACATGTTTATTCTTTTAATACTAAAAGATGTTTTTTTTTTTAATTGATTTCAATATATATCTTGTTATTTAATTATGAGTAGTAGTTTTGCATTGCTGATTCGTTACATAAGGCTCCTTACCAGAGGATTGGTCGAGAATGAGCTGAATGGAAGAGCCTCCTTGGATCTGCTTTACATGAGAGTCGGCCCAGTTGACGGTAAAGCCTTCGGTGAAGGTCACCGGCTTCGCCGACACTCCGACGAAGGCCGCGGTGAGGAACTGAAGAAGAAGAAGAAGAAGAAATAGCTTTATTAACCACGGTGAGGAACTGAAGAAGAAGAAGAAGAAGAAGAAATAGCTTTATTAACCTCTCCATATGAAATTGTTGTAAGCCAGATATTGTGAGGAAGTGGTTTTGAAATGTTAAGGGCTATGGCAGAGGCCTTTTTATAGGGGGGAGAAGAGAGAAACAACAAAAGAAGTGTAGGGCCACTGGATTGAAGAAGTAGGGCCTATCAGTCTACCAGATGAGAGGCCCCGCATTTCCAGCTAAGCCAAATTCCTCTACGGCTGGCATCAGTTTCCTTTTTTTTATCATTAATTATTTTATTATTTGGTTTGTTTTCTAAAATTAGTTGGCCACATATATTTCCTAACTTCTGTGTATATATATCAATTTTACCAAAATATTTATAAGGGTTTGATTCGGCCTATATCTGTTAATCAAGAGCAAAATTTAGAGGAGTTTTTATCTTGTACGGTTTGCTATATTAGATTTCTTTTCTTTATAATTACAATAACATCAAATTTAAATAGTCAAGTTAAATATTAATTATCGTTGATTATGTTTTTAAAACACGGCCATAAATAAGTGGTTGCCAGCCATGCATATTTTTTATCATGGAATTATTCTTTAATGATTTTTCTTATAGAATATGATTTGAAGTTTAAACATGGTACATCTAACAAAAATGTAGACATTAAGTGTATAGCAAGAGATGTAATATTTTAATTTTTTTTGAGATAAAATATAACATGTTAATTTTTTTTATTGCTACTAATAAATCTAACATTGCAATTCAAACACAAATTTATATTCATAATCTAACTGTGTGTTTGGGGCAACAGTTGAGGAGCGGAGTGGTTATTTATTGTGAATCACTTGGTTTGTTTAACGTGTTCCTGTCGTGTTTTATCCACCATGGCATACATTAAACTCATTTTTATGCCGCTTTTCCCTGCCGCCAACGTTCTGCATTTTAGTAATAGTCATTATTGTACAACCCTCGCTTTGGTTGCTCTTGGATGCTTCCATCTCTCTGATTTTGCTCTGCTCTAACCACTCGACCAGATATTTTGACCAAAGATGAGGATCCAAAATGAGGTAAATTCAATCTTCGTGTTTCTATCTTCCCTTTTTTCTCTTTGATCTCTTATCATATAAGGTATCTTTGATGGTTGTCTCTATCCTGATTTTTGTGGGCTTCCTATATGTCAATTTTTTTTTTTATTGTAAGGTGAGGATCAAGGAGTTTTACGTGAATGTATTTGCCCTTACCTCTATCAGTGCACATTTGGGTAATTCGATTTCCCTGCTCTAATTTCCTTGGAATTTTCAGTAGAATTTCAATCATTATGCACATTTTTCTTTGGAGTTTATGTAAGGATTGATATATCTATGTTTTCATAATTTTGAGCAGTTTATGGAAATTAATTGTTCCTAGCATGAGTATGAGAAGATTTCAATCTCTTCGTGCTTACTTTATGTAGGGATTTGAGAATTCTGCTAACTGTTGCATAACACTTTCGTGAAAAAAATCATCCATTTGACACAAATTAAAAAGTTTTGGGATATCAACCTAACTAACACCCGATTTTCTATAAAGTTAAAGGAAATGTACAAACCTAGCACACAATTCTTATGTGTTCACATTCATGACGGTTGTATGCAAGAATATGGAAGTATAAGGAATGATGGTAGTTATATTCATGTGTATTTTATTATCTTGACATGATTTCACTTTGTTGCTTATTTGTTAATGAAGTTTATTTTGATATGGTTTTTCACATTTGAGTGTTGTGTGCATAAATCTGAAATTTGTACTGTGAGGTATATATATTCATTAGAATAATGTGTTATGTGTGTAAATCGAGATTGTTGGATGATTGAATTAAGTGGAGTTGGTGTATGCTAGTTGGATGAACTTTTGCTAACCGTTGAATAGCACTATCTTGAACAAATAATAATGTTGTGTATGATTTACCTCCTTGCTCATATCTTCACTTCTTCTGTATATGTTTATACTATGTGAGTGATTTTGTTTTTATATAATTTTCATCAAAATTAGAGGTTTAAACATGCAAGACAAGAGAATGTGGATCTTCTGCGATGTGAGAAAGAGATATTAAAATCATCTTTTGTGATATCTATTTAAAGGGAGTTGAATTGAGAAATTACTCATAATGTTTTTCATCAAAGAATAATGACAAAACAAATTAAAAAAATTTAAAGAAATAACTGAACGAGAGTACAATATGATGATATGAAGCAGTTGAAGAATAAGTGAGTTCAATATTAAAAAGAATTAAAATTAGTGAAATAATTGAAACGATGAGCCACAGGTCTTGGTTGGGAACATACAAAACAAACTATTGATGCATCTGGATAATGGTACAAGAAAAGATTATGATAAAATTGTGTTAATCAATTAGACTATTCCACATACTTAGGTTAAACAGGTTATAAATCAACATTTATTTAATGTATGTCCCATGTATGTTGTGCCAAACACGAAAAAAATTATTTTAGTGCATTTGCTAGGGATTAGAAGAGAAGATATATCAAATGTTGGTGGAGTCGTTGCCACCGATGATCATACATGTCTGAGCATTGGTGTATCTAAACTTGTAGACTATGAGCACAAAACCAACTCAATTGAATGATTCATTTGTGTTGTTACCGAACATGTTGGATCTAATAATTCAAAACGGCGGCCATCTTTAAGGCCTAGGGGTGAAAGAAAGAAAAAAGAGGTTGTCTTATTCTCATTAAATCATAATTCACAACTAATTTGTGCATGCACTAGTAATCCCTTTTAGCCTAGCACATCACTTGCACCACCACCGATTCTAGAAGAAATGAATATACTAGAAGGAGCTTTAAAAATTTATAAAGACGTGTCTTTGTACTTGTATTCCATGAAATTGTTGGAAGTTCCAACAAAGTAAGAGTTTTTATCTCTATAACATCTGATCATATGGTTAATTACATATATTTCTTTTATAACAATCATGACGTATAAGTGTAATATTTTTTTTATTATGTCGCTTCATCATAATTGTTTGATTTATTATCTAAGTTGACTCATTTTTTTATTTATATCATGATATAGATGTTTAAGGTGATTTCATCATTCTTTTAATGCTTCATGATTTTTTATAGATAGATGATGAATAACATGAGAGACGGCGTCAAATAAGAATTATTATAGCAGCTATATGTTTGATATGTGAAAACTGTATTTCACATATTATGTGTACTTCTTGCATGACATCGTCATATATTAGGGATTAATGTATTGAAGAGTTTCTTTCAGGTAACCCGACTATATTTGACATTATATTTCATATGCAACAAAAAGTTTTTAGATCGATTGAAAGAACTATATCAAAATAATGGCATTCATGGATCCTCTAGAATGACTTCAAGGGATGCGTAAGCTATAACCCTCAACCTTTTATCACAATATGCATTAGCTAGGTCTTCCATGGAGTGATTCCAGCACTCCTTAAAAATAATTAGTAGATATTTTTTTACTTAGCTTGGATGCTTTGATTAGTATATCTTCCAAAATTGTTAAACCTGAAGACTCAACATTTCAAAGCACACCCAAGGAGATTTTGAATGATCCCTGGTACATGCCATATATAAAGGTAGATTTTGATTTTCATCTTTCACAATTTATTTTATGTATACTCACTCATGGTAAATAATTTATAGGATTTCATTAGTGTTATTGATGGAACACATATTGATACATTTTTACCTAGAGGTGAAAATGTTACGTACATCGAGCGTTGTGGCTCATGAACACAAAAAATTGACTAATTTTAACTTTTATGTCGGATTTATTTAGAGCCAACAATAATTAAGCTCAAAATAAGAACGTTAACAACCTACTGAGGCTGTTAAGGCTGTCAAAGATCGATAATTGGCGAAAAGTTATCAACATTTTATCTCGAATCTTGTTTGTCTCTATAGCTACATCAACTTATTCACGAGTATATTTTATTCACATTTTCTCCATAAATGTAAAGTGAGTGATCCTTATGGGGTTTGAGATTGCCTTTTCACTTGGGACAAAGTATGAAACATCTATTTTTGTGAGAGGGCTGGTGTAGCTACATTGGCACACTATTAGAGGGAGACGCCTTAATCAATTACGAGTCAATGTTTAACCGTTTAATGATCTTCGACAGAACTAATATTACTAAGATGGTAAATGATCCAACTTTGAGCTGAGATGTATAGGTTCCAAATAAATTTGATATGTAGTTTCCAAATAAACTTGATCTTTGTCTCGTACATAGGCGTGTTTATTTCAACTTGAGTTTCATGTGCGAGTCATCGTTAGAATCAATTTCGAGCGATTATCCTTTTTCAAATTAAATTCTATTCCGAATTTGAGAAGTACCTCAGAATTTGATAATTCTAGATTTCAATAATTTATTAAAACTCATTCAAACTAAATCATGTTTTCAACTGAACAACCCCTAAATTTAAAGGCCAACATTCTACGCATAGAACATCATGTCTCACCACCATCTTATAAAATTTTCCTCAAGTCTAAGCTGTATTTTCTATTACACAATAGGTCGGATGCATTCCTCCACTTCAACCAACCAACTTGAAATCCACAAATCACATTCTCATCTATGTCTCCTAAACTTTCAGCGAGAGACCCGAGATATCTAAAATGTTCATACCTTTAATGATTTGAACATCCGCAATTACAACTCTGTCATTAGAACTACTACTAATAAAATTACATTTCATGTTTTTATTTCTAGATCAACTCAAACGAAGGTCTTTAGACTCCAATGTCGACCTCCTAAATTTAATTTTTGGGGTGATTACATACATGGCACTCAAAACTTTGTTATTTACAAATCAATAACCCTCTTTCATATATTTTTCAAATTCTCTCTCAAATATCAAAGGTCGTGATAAAACTCCAACCCATATTATCATTCGTAAACTCTTTCCTTAGTCTTATCCACAAGAAGGATATCACAGGGGAAAATCATACACCAATTTAAATCCTCCTATAAATGTTTAGTACGAGCATTCAAAAATAAAGCAAAAAATGTGTGGGCTTAAAGTCGATCTTTGATGTAATCCAACAAAAATA